AAATGTAAGTACTTCTTCAACGTGTTTTTATAACACAATCAATACTTATTACAAATATTTTCTAATTATCATACGGTGATAAAGCAAGACGTAATCAAATTACGAGACAATCACTGATAGGAATGATAATAATAATAAGATAATCAATATAGAAATAAAACTCTGTTTATGATAATGTCGTCCATTTAATTGTATTTTTTTAAATTGAAGAAGAAGTAAATTTGATTCCATTTTATGAATTCAATTGTCAATGTATTTAACCCTTTGAGTACCGTCATTATAGACACAATTAAAGAATAATAGGTTGCGGTCACCGGTGTCCTCGCGGTGTTTGACAGTTTATGAATAAGCGTAGCTGTCTTTTTATTTCAGTTTATCGTCTTAATAATCACTATAATACAATATTATAAAAGCGAAAGATTGTGGGTTTGTGTGTATGTTTGTCTGTTTGTTTGTTTTTCAACCACATCAAAACGGTTAAAGAGATCGGGATGAAATTTGAAATAGAGATAGGTTATGGTCAGGAATAATACATAGGCTACTTTAATCCAATTGGAACGCGGGCAAACCCACTGGCAGAACGTAGTTTGTTTTAACTTGATCGCACTGTTGGCGCGGTGGCTGGGCCACTGGCTGCCGCGCAATGTGTCGCGGGTTCGATTCCCACACAGAACATCTCTTTGTGTGATCCACAAATTGTTGTTCCGGGTCTGGGTGTTATGTGTATGTGAATTTGTATGTTTGTAAACGTACCCACGACACAGGAGGAAATCCTAGTGTGGGGCAAAGTATTTAAAAAAAATCACAGTTACTTAGTACAGTACATTAATATCGAAGATAATACCCACTTAACATCACTTATCTTAAGAATCCCCAATTCTTAAATCCATAACCCCAAAAGGATGGTCGCGTTCTGATAACTTCTCCAGTATATCTTATACATACATGGATAACGCCGATTGATGACCTACCATCAAGTGATCCATCTAGTCGTAGGCCGGCTCATTCTATATTAAAAAGTAATAGGTAGCAAGTCTAATACCATAGGCTTTTTTTTAAAGGGCGAAAATCATCGAGTGACTGCTCCCGCCTGAGTGAGGCGGGAGGGAGTGTCAGACTCTTACTGACTAAATACCACCCCGTTCCTTCTTCTGCTCGTCGAGCCGGAGCCCCGGTTACCCGTTAGGTTCTCCACGACTCCGAATTGGCATCGGCCCTGTGGTGGTCTGATACCATACCATAGGCTAACCACAAAAAGACTAGAGAAGACACAAAAAAGCTATAAAACTTTGTTGTAATACTTATTGATAGATACTACTGGGAACTATACCTCTAAAATACAATAACACTTTACCCTATCCGAGAATCGAAGCCGATATCCTATAGGATATACTACTAGACCGAAGCGGACAAGCGGATCCATCTTGAAAACAGATAAAAAATATTTAAATAGTTGTAATGTCGCACACAGCACGGTATTTAAGTAAACACAGACAACATTAGTTTATTTATCTTTATAATAATTACGATATCTGCATTTTTTATAATCTATATCTCGTTGATTAGAAACTTAAGCTAGATATAATTTATCTTTATGAATTGATTGATAATTATAATCTTATTTCGTACAAGTAATTATTTAGTGTGACGAGGATTCGGCCGTGGCCGGTCCTAGAATTTAGTACATTTTGTTTGAGTGGGAATAGGGTAAGTAAGAAAACTTAATTTAAGAAAAATGTACACTAAAGTGGATTAATAGATTTGGTCTTACATTGGTATGTTTAGTCTGTAAGTGATAGTGACGTTGAGTGTGCATTTTTATTACGGGTGCTAATAGATGACCTTCGAATGATAAAATATGTACATATCTAAATTGTAATTTCCCAGTGGTAATGTACCTAGTTTGGCGAAAAGTTAATAATTCTAAATAGGAAAAGATTTTTTAAGAGGTGTGAAAGGATGAATCTGGAATTGTGTAGAAGCTCCTCTGTAGCTGCCTCGTTGGCCGAGTGGTCGCAAGTGCGGCTGCCGGGCAAGGGGTCTCGGGTTCGATTCCCGGGTCGGGCAAACTTTTACGGGGTTTTAAAAAAAATCTCAGTAGTAGCACGGAGTCTGGAATTGTGTCCGGTATTTGGCACTAGGCTCACCCCCTATTACATCGGACTCATAACATATATAGTGAAAAGTGGGTGTGACATTGTACAGTGGCATAATGTGCACCTCTGACTACCCCTTTGGGGATAAAAGGCGTGATGTTATGATATGATTTCTCTGTTGCAATCAGTTTATCATTCGGTGGACAAGAATCGCAAAAGTGTGTTTCGGTGCCATGCTTCAATTCCTATCGATGCTAATTCTCATATTTCCTATTGTTCCTAATATAATCGACTAGGACTTCTGTACAACCAAATCTTTCCTCTATACCTCATGATCTGTCGCGGAGAACCTAACGGGCTACGGGGTCTCCAGCACGACGTGCAGGAGAAGGAACGGGGTGGTTTTTAGTAAGAGTCTGACACTCCCTCCCGCCACACACAGGCGGGAGCAGTTATTCAATTATTTTCCCCCCTTAAAAAAATCCCTTATGAGCTGCATTTTCCAACTTTAGATGGTTTTCTTGGCACCGTAGATAAGTGTAACATCTTATCCCTTAGTGGCCTCGTGGCATGTTACATTGTCTATGTGACTACAAAATAATATTTATTGTTTAAAATAGTTATTATTGTAGTTGCAATGTTGCACACATTCAACTTGATCACGGAAACAGATTGGATTGGGAATGATATTGCAATTTATTATCTGTTTCACTATTTAACTGAAGGTGATAACGAAAATATCTGCTACTTAAACATTATATCGAAGCTATTTAATTTATAATTACTCAAAATGTTATAGATTAAGATATTTGTTTTTTTAAACGCTTTGACCGACAAAGTATAGCTTACAGATAAACCTTCTCCAATCTACCACATTTATTTATTGGCTTTTCAACTTTATGTCAATACAATAAAGTTGAAGATGTAGTAGTGATAGAAAAGGATAGGGTAACTTGCTGGCTACCGTACAAACTATTGGTTGATATAGTTGAAAATCTCTCTTCCTGTTAACATTAACACCATTACCAGTCTGCTGCTGGACTATAGACCTTCTGTATTTAAAATGGTTTGCTATAATCCCCATGTTCCCTAAGCGTCAGTTTAGTGACCAAAGTTTTAAGGAAATGTCGCTCTTCGCCTCTCCGTGGTTGGTCAAAGTTTTAGGATACATTAGGGCCAGATTGGAACATGTATTCTACAAATTTCGAACTTGTGTAGTACTTATAGATTTCAAATCTTACATTCCACAAATTCCTAAGCCCCAAAAGGCCGGTAACGCATTTATAACGCCTCTGGTGCTTCAGGTGTCCATGGGCGGTGCCAATTGCTTACCTTCAGGGGATTCATTTGCTCGTGTACCGGCTTATCTTATAAAAAAAATACGCTAAACAGTGGTGTATAGCTACTTCCCTATAGCATAGTTCTAAAGGAAAATTATAAGCCATGTTTTCATCTTTCCTTCGACAAAGTTTAAGCGTGGAGCGGCTAGGTACTTTAATAAATATCAAATCTCGTAGCTCAATGATGTGAAAATATGATATCGAATTTTAGGGCACGGAAAATTGTACTTTAAGATCATTGAAGTGTATTGAATATTGGAAATTTTGTACATCACTGGTTCAACCTGTTGGATTTGAAAATTTTCCCGTCCTTGTCCCATTTTACTTGAGGTCAGCTTTGTGTGTTTTATTCGGAATGTCTTTATTAGATGTTATTTATTTTCCTTCTCTAATGTAAATCTATTTTGCTTCTTTTTAATCTACGTCTCCTTGGACTAAATTAGTGTATGTGCACTGCGCAGTTTGTCAAGCAAGGAAACTTTGTGTTCTGTTTCTATTCTAGTCAGGACCTAGTTATGAACTTTGTCTTAATTTCGTCTGTCATGTTTTCTGTTTTCTCATCAAAATCTATTAGGATCTTATCTACAATAATATCATTCTCAACATGATCTTTAAATCTACGTGTGTGGATCCGTATGTGGAAATCTTTAATGTGTGGTTTAGATTTTTTTTCTGAGGTAAAATTATCGAACTATGTCAAATGTGTTAGTTGGTTCTTACAATACAGCGAGAAGAATAAGTCTAGCGCCTATGTAGATTTATTCTACTCTACCAACACTCGATGAATTGCAAACATAATATTTAATTCAAGTTCACACATCTGATAATCTACTTCCAGTACATATTTTTGAAAGCAACGTTTTATGTATTTACGAGTTCATAGATTATGTAGAAAAAAATTTATAACAACTATTTCTCTTATCAATATCTTGCAATGTGATAAGACAAACAATAACGATTAAGTACCTACACGATTAAGATAGCCCGAGTCCCACCGTATTATCTGTACAATTATTGAATACATTACTGACCAAATTGTTATGTAGCCTATTAATTGCTTCAAGCCTAATAGGTTGGGTTAGACACGTGCCGAACATAGTCAATGTACCGAGACATTAGAGAAGAATAATAGGTACATTCATTATTACTATTCTTATAAGATTAGGTACATTCATTGTTATACTCTTTTCGCAGGTGTCTTAAAAACCGAAAGACTACACATTTTATAGAGACCAAACACCGTAGCGATATCTGATAAACCATGTATGGAGATTTCGATAAACCTCAAGCATAGAAAGGACCCATTCTCCTTTTAAAATTCTCCAAGAGTTTTGTGCGACAAGACTGCATAATAGTGTGTTTATCTTGACGTGTTTTTGTGGTGCACAATAAAGTATTAATAAATAAATAAAATTATTTATCTATCTAGCAGTGGATGGATATATAATAAATATTTTTAATTTCTGTGAAAATAATACCTAATCAAAAGACTTCCGTTGTTTCAATTATTAAGTTTGTTTTACTAAAACGAAATTATTTTGTTTACAGTTACACCCCAAACAAGATGGCCCAGGACAACAGCAACTCCACTATGGAGATGGGAACCAGTGACCAGGTAACAATCCTATTAATATTATGAACTAGCTAACCCCACCCAGTTCCACCCGCTGTTCAGCTCATTTTAATCTTACCGTGATGTTTTACCGACCGGAGGACACGGTGGAGCAATACGGTGGCGGTGTGCCCTGCATGAGCTGAACACCGCCGCGTGTGTCCTCGGGGATGTGGTTGGTGACGGCGATCTCTCGCATCCAGCTCTAGTTTAGACTATGTTACGGAGCGAGGGGGACTGGGAGCCGTCTCCTCTTTCTGCGAAGCAGTCATACTAGCTAAGAAGGAGGTGTGGGTGGGGTGTGTAAAGGAACAAACCTCTTCACGCCCCAGCTGTCACGGTAGATACTCCGGGTGTTATTGATGACATTGATGATTTTGCCCCTACAAAAAAGCGTACTATAGTCTATAATAACCTTCCTCAATAAATGTTTTCATTCATCGTTTTACTAGGGTAGATGCCTAATTTTTATTGTAATGTCCGTCTGGTAGATTATTTTGAATAATTAGACACGTATTTTTTATTTTCTTACAGAAACGAATACTTTCGACGATGTATTGATTTGAAATGTCGCGTGACGTCACTTCTATATACATTTTATACGTAGAAATGACGTTTCAGCCCCCACTCCTAAACTTTGATTCGTTTTATCTAAATATTGTTTTATTATACGACAAAATAAAAAACTACGTGTCTAATATTTTTTCATTACCTAACTTACGGACTAATTATATTTTTAATTTCCATACCCTGTCATCACCCCAATTTTGACGTATTTTCTTCATAGATGTGTCAATTAAATTAGGAACTGTGTTTGATTTTTAAGTGGATTCGTTACGTCAGAGCTAGGCAGGAGACAGGTAATGCCCTGCTTCATAAGTAGATTAATGCCATTGTAGGTAATGATTATGCAATTTTGAGAAGAATATGATATAGAATTGTGAACCGATAATCGGTAACAGAGTTGTCCATTGTTAGATGAATAATTCCAACTCTATAAGTATCTAAACTTGAAATATTATTGGTTCAAAGTAGATGGAAATTAAAACACCTATCTGTTTATTTCTTCAGAGATAAAGAGGCATAATGTTACGTTAATCAGAGCAGTAAGAACTATAACAAACAAGAAATGTTTAAGTTGTAATAAAATTCTTACATCATTCTTAGGTTTTTAACTCATTATTATATAAATAATCTCATTTCGTAATAGTTGCAAGCCGAAAACATAATAATTAATATTCTTCAATTTAGAAGATACATACAGGATTTATTAGTAGACAATTAAAATCTAAATACAGCAATTTCTTCATCAAAATAAATTATACAATGGTTATATTCAATAAAGATCTGTTATTAGATCGAAAGTAAAAATGAATCTGGATATTGAAATAGACAAAAAATTAATTAAATTAAATTAAAATATTTTTTAAACATTAAGATAAATTACTACCTCGTTGGCCGAGTGGTCACAAGTGTGACTGCCGGGCAAGGTGTTTCGGGTTCGATTCTCGGGTCGGGCAAAGTATTACTGGTTTTTTTTTAATTCTCAGTAGTAGCACGGAGTCTGGAATTGTGCCCGGTATATGGCAATAGGCTCACCCCCTATTGCATGGGACTTATATCATAAACAGTGAAAAGTGGGTGTTACATTGTACAGTGGTATAATGTGCACCTCTGCCTACCCCTTCTGGGATAAAAGGCATGATGTTATGTATGTACGTTATGTAAGAAAAATAACATTGCAACATAATTAATGTCTATTATAATCTATATATTTAAAAATGAATTGCTTTTCGTTAGTCTCGCTAACACTTGAAAACGTAATAGTCCAGGGAAGGTTTAAAATGTAAGAAATAAAAATAGACGCGACACGAAGTTTGCCAGGTCAGCTAGATTAAAATAAATAACGTATTACCTACATATAATTCATTTAACTTACTAACCATGCATCAAAAAAAAAAGAAATATAAAAGAAATGACATTAGGTACTAACTATGCATCAAAAAAACAAATACAAAAGAAAACTAGATCACTCTCAATTACATTTATTTACATACTACAATGAAACATAATCTCATTGGTTTATAATTGATGTTAAATACTATAACGGACACAGGATAACCTTCGATAACCTCACTGGAGTAACCATATGTAAAAAATCTTAACACCAAGGTCTTCATTCGCGGTTCACTCCATTCCATTTCTGTTCCGTCTGTAGCACGGCCGCGGATTTGGATTCATTTTATTTAAATTCATTTGTTTTCTTTATTTAGTGTTAAGAGTATTAAGTTATGAGTGGTGTCATGTGTTTCTTTAAATCAATAAATAAATAGTGATTTTGGATTGCAGTGTTATTTTTTTTTCGAAGTCTTGAGTAATGTATGTATTTTCTTTTTGTTTATTTTATATTACTTGGGTACTTTATATTCATTTGTTGCGTCTAGTTTAGAATATAATTGTGTTATAATAGGGTCATAATAAAGTATCATTTTGTATAAATTACTAAATAATAGTTAGATCAATTAATGTTTGGTAAAAACAAGAAACATAAACCGAATAATTTTTTTTTCGAAACTACTATTTTTAAACCATCATACCATTATTGAGACAAATCACAACAGATCTTTATTTATTAATCATTTACTTTAAACAAATATAACTTTACATAAACGTATTTCTTTATTTACCTTAAATATTCTTGTAGACCATATACAAAGTGCATTCAAGGAAAACCCATAGCCGATCGCGGCCTAAGTATTTAATTTAAACAATAAATAATTTCAATATAAGTGTGACTAATTGTATAATATTGTTGACTCGTTCGTAACTGTACCAAATACAAACTCTACAATATTTACTCAGCTTGCAAAGACGTCAAGATACATTAAATATTTTTGACAAATTGACGTCGATAAGTTTAAAACAAAATCAAAAATCCCTGTCTTGTGTTGTCAATCGGTTGGTGAAGTGTATAAAAGGTGTTAAAGGTAATTAGATCGCAATTAACAACCTTAAATGGGCTAGAGGTAAAGTTTAAAATTGAATAATAAATTGTCTAGGTAAATAGTACTTATACATATGCAATTTTGTCATTACAAAACTGTAAAAGTACCCATATCATTGCTATTAATTTAGAAATTAATATTTATATTTATATACACTATAATATAATATATCGCTGTTTAAAGGACAACATAATATTAATAACATGAAGTATGTCTGTACCTAATGCATATTCCTAAAAGATTTTTTTAATGTAGACTTAATTACAAGTTTATTTGACAATGTTAAATGAACTAGCACAGACTTTGTACATAGTTCGTATCGGTATCAGAAAATATATTTTTGACAAAAAAAAACTTAATCAAACATTCCGAAATAGGCCGTTACTGTGAAAAATCCCTACAATTGTGATATTCTTAGTGGTTTTAGTTGAGTATAGAAAGTGATATTAGACATCTCAAGTTTATTTTAGACCAGTACCTTTCATTACTATTAGGCCCGAATACATGACAAAATGACAAATTTTTTTAAGAGTGGAAAATCATCGATTTTTAAGTACAACATAAAATTGAGTAGCCTTTTAATATTCGGGCGTTAGTAACATAACAGATCCACTTATCTTTTTACGTATGACTTATAAGTCGGACGTAACCAGGAGAAATATCTCTGGGGAATTACTCGCGTTTCATTGTATTATTACTAAAGTAAATGATTCATACAATAATTCCATACTTGATTATTACTGTTTTCTCTTAACCCGTATAGGTCCCCTTTTTTAAAAATTCTATAAAGAGAATTCACTAAGGTTCGATTCCCGGGTCGGGCAAATTAATACTGGGTTAAAAATCTCAGTAGTAGCGCGGGGTCTAGAATTGTGCCCGGTATAAGGCAATAGGCTCACCCTTACAAGGGACTCATAACATAAATAGTGAAATGTGGGTGTTACATCGTACAGTGGCATTATTTTTTTTTATATCATAAAGGTAAGTATCTTATAATCTAAGCCCCACAAAACCTTTGCAATGGTTTGACTGCGGGGTCGAGTCGCTAAACATTACAATTAAATGCCGTAATGTAAACCTGTCCATCCTGTCCAACCTGTCCATCCCTTCGGAGATAAAAAGGTGCGACTTAAAGTTGCGTTACTAATTTTGTCTACGGTCATTAGTAACAGAAAGGTCTAATACGTAAATCGATTGTACAATCGAACTAATGTAGATAAATATAGATCACTTTTTGTGACTTCTTGAAGAACTGTGTGACTAGGTGAGACCAGTTTACCTTCAAATACCTCTTTGTTGTAGGCTTATTATTATTATGTGTATCAAGCTTCCTAGTTACATTCAGATCATAGTTAATAGATGGAAGATAAGCTCCTTATAAAACATAATGCCTTTTATTATCTGAAGGGAAAAGTGAACGTATTCAATGTACCTACTCCTTTACGAATCCCATAACCTATAAATAATAAGTGTAACGATGTCATTCTTTATGTTTTAAAATTGTGTTCCGGCTTCGCATCAACCGCTTCATTTCTCTGCACTTCCCTATGGTTGACTGTCATAGGATGCATTAAGGCATTATGTCCGCCATTCATTGCAATTTTTTCGTGAAGAAGTTAAAATACATAAATAAACCTCAGTGTTATTATGTTTGTTATTCTTATTAGTTCTGTGAATTTTGTGAACTATCCATATTAATTAAATAAACGTTCAAAAGTGTACCATTTATGCGAACACTTCTTATATAACAAGCTAACTATAGAAAAATTTTGCAGGTCCTGGTGGCAACGAAACGTAAGAAGACTATAGGATACATCATCGGAACTATCGCTATGTTGGCCGTAGGAGGAGTGGTGATAGCTCTTATCGTAGTGCTATCTCCTGATAGTGCCGCCACCCCAACCCCTTCACCTATCGTCTCGCCAACCACAGATACATCAGCAGGCTCAACGGAAGGCCCGACTTCTCCTCTAACTCCATCAACAACAGGGCCTACTTCAACAACTTCAACAACTACGACTACAACAACGACGACAACAACAACGACGACTACAGAATCTCCAAATGAAGGTCCTGGACCACTGGATTTGGAAGATATCATTGATGGAGTGTTCTCGCCACCGTCTTTCAACGCCACATGGTCAACAGGTATGTATATTTCATTACTAGCTATTTCCGCGCGATTTCACTCTCAGCTCAGCTCCAATTGGTCGTAGCGTGATGTTTTTAGCCTATAGCCATCCTCGATAAATGCGCTATCCAACACAGAAAGAATTATTCAAATCAGACTTGTAGTTACGGAGATTAGCGCGTTCAAACAAACAAACAAAAAACAAACTTTTCCGCTTTATATAATAAGTATAAGAGTAATACAGATTGAAAATTTAAATATATTGTACGCCAGCGCAGCGTTGATCAATGATCATCGTCGCTAGCGGGTGGTTAGCCTACAGCAGATTTGGTCATCAGTTAAAGGCATATCAACTGCCGCTGTTTATGGTTTGAACAGTTTGGTTTCTGATAAGTAAACAAAAAGTATAAAAACGATTTAAGTACCTCCCTACGTCAGAGAAAATCTGAGTTTACTTTATACAAAAATACCTCTTTACGTCCATTCTCCATAATCACTTTACGAAACTGGTTGGGCTACAATATAAAGTATAAACAACAATAATTTTGCATTAAAACTGACAGCGTTGCGTGCAGTTTTTTGTGAAATAATTACATAAACAAACGAGTGTGTCTTGCTGACTATATCACACAGATTGCCCAAATACACATTACGTCACAGACCTTCCATAAATGAACTTAAATTGCTTTTGTTATGCAAATGTGAGGTTAAAACTAAAAATTGGAAAGGTCACTTGGTCAATTACAATTTGTTCTTTTTTTATTTTTATTTTTATGGGATAAGCCGGTAAACAATCAGACGGATAAGACGGATAAGCAATCGGCGTTGTCCATGGACACCTGAAACACTAGAGGCGTTTACTAACACTTGAGGATTGTTGGGGATTCAGGGATTGGGGAAAGAGAGGGAAGGGGTAATTGGGCCTCCGGTAACATCACTCACACGACGAAACACAACACAATGTTGTTTCACGTCGGGCTTCTGTGAGGCCGTGGTATCATTCCGGTCGAGCAGGCCCATTCGTGTCGAAGCATGGCTCTCCCACACACTGATACGTGATTTGGAGTTACTTCTGGACTATACAAAACTGGTCGTATGCAGTCATAACTCATACTAAGCCAAATTGGATTTGTAACACCTTTCTAGGCAGTCACGTATGGAATCACTGCAGATTATGAATACAAAATGTATCTACTAAAGGTCTTAATAATGTGAACAAATAAGGAAAAATAACTACATTTTATTCAGATAGGTAGAAAGTCATTGACTTTCGTTTATACAAGATATACAAGTTTAAAGATTCTGTTGTTGTCAGTTGCCAGTGCGGCATACTTTTTTCTGTTATTTAAATATTTTATATTGTTTATTTTTTAATGTGGAATGTAGTTTCAATTATTATGAAATTTATTAAAAAGAAATAGTATTGTGTACTTGCCAACAAGTCAGTTAGAAAAAAGTGTTGATTACTCGATTTATATGAATTTTGTACGAGATTGTGTATTATGACGTTAAGTTCTTTTAGCGTCTAGCAGCTTATACATTTCCTAAAAAAATGCTGGAAAAATACTAAAATTAAATTCCTCATAAAATCAATTAATGAAAGTATGATTCTTTTTTTTAGTATTTTATTGATTGAACAGTCGAAATAATATATTTTTGATTAAGGAATATCCCAATGGTTTTTTGTTAAAAACATCCTGTTCTATAGATACATTTGTGTATTACATAATTTAAATTAATTCAAAGGAACACTTTAAAAAGAAACCATACTTTTCATACCTACTACAGTGCACTATAATAATCTGCTGCTGATTTATGTATCTGCAAATAGAATAACAGCAAAACCGGTTCTGTCATTGACCATGATACAAATAAATAAAATATGATTTAAGTGTAGGAGAGCCATGCTTCGGTACGAATGGGCCGGCTCGACCGGAATGGGGCTCATAGAAAACCGACGTGAAGCAACGCTTGCGTTGTGTTTCGTCGTGTGAGTGAGGTTACTGGAGGCCCAATTGCCCTCCCCTTCCCCAATCTCCCCAATCCCTGAATCCCCAACGATCCTCAAACTTCTAATCCTCAAAAAGCCGGTAACGCACTTGTAACGCCTCTGGTGTTCCAGGTGTCCATGGACGACGCCGATTGTTTACCATCAGGTGATCTGTGTGCTCGTTTACTGGCTTATGTCATAAAAAAAACTTTAGGTTCATTGTAATTTGATTGCATCGTTGGACAAATAGTTGCAGGTTCAACTACTGAGAAACGGAAAGTATTAAGTACTGATATTATTTGAAATCAGTAGCATTTTTTTTACGTCGCCTCACACTAGCATCTTATCATCTTATCTTGTCGTGGGTCCTTTCAAATAAACAACTTTACATACACATGACTCCCAACGCGAAACAACAATCTGTGGATCACACAAACAGTTGCTTCGCCCTGACTTTTTTCACTGCTACCCGCTATCTTACATACGATTGTTTATTGTATGTAAATGTGTTTGAGCAAATAAATATGATTTGATTTGATTTCTGAATTGAACGCGCCCCAACAGCAATACATGTATCAACAGTCTATAAATGCCCACTGCTGAGCAAAGCCTCTTTTCACAAGGACAAGATTTCAGCATTAATCACCACGCTTACTCAATGCGGGTTGGCGATTTCAAACTTACAATTAGAAATTATAAGCTCAGGTTTCCTTACGATGTTTTCCTTCACCGTTTGTCAGTGGTGTCTAAATAATCTTAGAAAGTATATACAACTCGGAAAAAGTCACATTGGTACTGCCGATGGTAGGTTTCGAACTTGCACCCTCTTGCATGAGAAGGGGGCGCCTTAAACCTCCGGGCTACCACGACACACACAGCAATATGATAACATAAAAAAGATAACATACCTAGTGAAAAAAATTAAGTGAACTTTAATGTGCATCTCTACTTACCCCTTTGTGGAATATGTACTTTATAAATTGCACGAAATCTACCACAGAAAATATATTTCAAGGAAGTGTCAACCTTTTGGAAGTTCCGGTCGACTTGAATGAGATGCCCGGTGAATGGGCCGGCCTACTTTTCTTTGAACTGTGTGTGACGGGCTTTATTCTCCTCTTGTATGGGGAACGTAACAAGTTCAAGTGAGACTGTTATTCTGTATATCATGACTTATTCTCATGTTGTCAAGTTATATATGAGTTACTTCACCTACTGCACGGCCCTTCTGATCGTAGCATTGTAACCTTTCTCAATAAATAGACTATCTAACACTAAAATAATTATTGAAATCGATTTAGTAGTTCCGGAGATTAACGCGTTTAAAACAAACATACAATAATATATTTTAAAAACGTTGTTTCGTTATTTGACGGTTTACAAGTTATAGGTACTTTCATATATTGAGTACTAGGGGGATTTTGTTATCATATCCAATAGGATACGATAGAAGTGAATACACTTCTCGTCATAATAACAGCCGTCCAAAGGTTCGAAGGTATCACACGGAGAAGGTTCTATCTTTTAGCATTCTGTCATAAGTTATGAATATTATCCTTAATATGTGACTTGATTACAGGTAGCGAACTGTTGTTCCGAAACGCCAATGGCGACTTGGTGCTGTATGACGTGGATAGCGACAGCTCAATGCCTATAGTTTCCAACACATCAAAGGTCAGTAACTGTAACACATTTTTAGAAAACCCAGAAAACCCCATTTTTTATGAGATATGATGGCATGGTTTTAGTCAGGTAAAAATCCCACACTCCCTTATCTTCTTCCCTAAAAAGATAGGTGATCTTTAAAGGTTTCCACCGTCAACAAAAAAAACCGTAGACTCATAATAAACGAGCAATATCTTTTCAAAAACTAAAACATACTTGCTATCTTCTTTGTAATTAAACTAAATAAGTACAAAAGTATGTAAATAAATAAGTCAACTACGCTAGAGTTTTCCAATTTAAACTTGTTAATTAGTTCCTAAATCTAGCTTTAATGAGACAAGATGGAGGGGGTGATCTCAAGAAGTACTTTCTTACTTGATATATTTTCCAACATTGAGGAATCGGTAGGAATAATAATAATTAAGCAGCAAGATAATTATGGTAGTATTTATCGGATAGAATATTATCTAATTAAAAAATTGTATTGTCGTTTTCGAAAACAATCTGCGTCGCCCATAGTCACCCGAAACACCAACAGTGTTATAAGTGCGTTTCTGGCCTTTTGGGGTTTACGAACTTGAGGACTGTAGGGGTCAGAGATTGGGGTAATTGGGCCTTCAGTAACTTCACTCATATGACGAAACACAACGCAAGCGTTCTTCACTTCGGTTTTCTGTGAGGACGTGGTATCACTCCGGTCGAGCCGGCCCATTCGTGCCGAAGCATGGCTCTCCCACACTTAAACCTCACCTATCTTAGTTTAGCTAGGAGTCCGTTCAAATTTTGGAGAGGGTCATGAAAATAGGCATCAACTATGTTTAGTGAATGGAATTACAGTCATGATTGCTACATTACTGACAGACTGCCTCGTTGGCCGAGTGGTCGCAAAAGTGCGACTGCCGGGCAAGGGGTCTCAGGTTCGATTCCCGGGTCATTAAACGGTTCGGCGCGCAAACCGTACGGACGTGTGGTTCGTGCCGTTGTGTTTCGTATCGCGACGCGGCATTATATATATAGCACTCTTAATTAGCATCATCGGCATACCTGTCTCGTTTCGGTATAATGGCGTCAAACATTGTAAAATGTGCAAACTGTAATTTAGTGGTAAACGAGCTACTGTCGTTTATACAGAATAAGGCGGATGTAATGGATGAGGTGTCCCTCATACGGATCTGCAGTGATAGTTACACAGACAGTGAAATAGTAACAGCGAAAAAATTGCTTTTTGATTCGGTTCCATCGTCTAAACCAAAGATACGAAAAAGCAAGGGAAAAGGTGCTCGAGATATCGAAGACATCATAACTCTTCTGAAGCTTACGGATCCCGAGCTGGTACCCATCTTCGTAGCGCGTGACCTTCAAAAACTACCACCGGTTACGTTTGATCACGTAGACTTAAAAATTACTAAAGATATTATCTCAATCAAGAGTAAAAAATACTTAAAAATGAGAGCGCCACAGCGAATCAACTATTGGAGTTAAAAGAGGATATCGACAATCTCAAGAGTGCCTCAATAGTGCACAATAATTTTGTCAATAGAAAGCGAGGCGCCTTTATTGCAGATTTTGAAAATTTGGACAGTGGTCCCATGGCGTTGCAACAACACTCAGTTTCTGGAAGTAAGGATAATTCACCAAAATCATTATCGCAGTCAAATATCAGTGATTACTTTCCTACCTATGTAGGTATACAGAAAAAATTAATATCGTCTCCAAAAACCGTTACCGGCACAGTGACACAAACAGCTGGTCATGTGCACGTCATAGATCCGTGCGATGCTGTCTCACTCGCACAACAGCAAGACTGCGGTGCGTCATCGAACGAGCGAGTCGCAGGCCGAGCAAGTAAACAATGCGAAAACTCTGCCGATGCATCCAGTTCTTATTTTTGCAACCCGATTATATATAATAATCCGTTGACTATTTCCCCGAGTGGTGGTTGCATGTCGATGGGGGGGGCACAAATGGCGAGTAAGGAGTGCAAAGAAATAGAAGGGGGAAAATGGCATATTGTAACAAATAAGAAGCAAAAGAAGCCTATTCCAAATAGGAAGATGGGCAAAGCTCACGTCGGCCCCGATGACAAGTTTAAGGCGGCTACCATCAAAGTACCATTGTTTATCTCGAATGTGTGTAAACAAACAAATGAAAAAGATATTAGTGCGTATATAAAGAGTAACACCCAGGAAGATGTGACACTTTTCAAAATTAACAGAAAAAAGGAAAAGAGGTATAATTCCTTTAAGTTGTATGTACCTATAAGCAAGCTGGAGCTATTTTTAAATACTAATTTCTGGCCCGACGGAGTAACGTTTCGACGTTTTGTGAATGAAACCTATAAGTCGCAGAGTAGCAAATTGAAGCAAACATCAAAACTTTAATATGAGTGACAATAATAATGAAACCTGTAAATTTGTAAGTTTTAATTGCAAGTCGGTAAAACGATCTATTGATGCTGTTAAATTTCTGTGCCAGTCAGCCGACTTAATTGCCCTTCAGGAGACATGGCTGCTCCCCCATGATATACCATATCTTGGTCAGATACATGAAGATTTCGAGTACACAGGAAAGTCGGCTGTAGACACATCAGTAGAAATTCTTAGAGGGCGGCCTTACGGTGGCGTAGCAATCCTGTGGCGAAAGCGAGTTTTTAAATCAGTGTCAGTAATCCGTTGTGTTAGTGTGCGTTTAACGGCCGTAAAAGTGTCGCTTGGAGATAGATCTATAATTGTCTTCAGTGTTTACATGCCGACTGACTCAAATGACAACCTGGCAGAATTCACTGACTGCCTTAGTGAGATGAGTGCAATAATCGAAAGTAGTGACATTGAAACCGTTTTTATGCTCGGTGATTTCAACGCACACCCGGGTGAGTTATTTTGTTGCGAACTTTTGAATTTTTGTAACGAACAAATGTGGATTTGTGCGGACATTGAGAAATTAGGATTAGCGTCGGGCAGCTGTACCTTTATCAGTGACGCGCACGGTTGCACGCGATGGCTTGATCATTGTGTCGTCACGCAATCGGCATGGTCAAACTGTAACTGATATAGGGGTAGTGCAAGATGTGTTTTGGTCTGATCACCTTCCCTTGTATATTGAGTGTAGACTAGATAAAATAAAACCTAAATCTGAACTTACTAAACATCTCGTAATAAAGTAATTTGGGGTGAGAGGACAGTGATCAGAAAGTAATACTACTGATCTGTGTAATAGCCAATTATGATGGATTACCCACAGGAATTTGGTATGTGTAGTAATACACTGCAGTAATGTCCCATAACGAGTTCTTGACAATATGTATGCAAATATTGTTTTTATTTTGTCCGAAGCCGCTGTTCAGAGTCAGGTGGAAACTCGGTCAAACGGACATAGTGTCGTGTTGTGGGGTGGAACAGACACGTCCGAGGTGCCCACACGAGGGCCAGGCTTAATTATCAGCGTTGGTTATTGCATAATAAACCAAGGTCGGGTGATATTTATAGCGACATGTGCCGCACGCGAAGTATTTTTAAAAGTAAGCTCAGGTGGTGCCAGACGCATCAAGATCAAATCAAGCTTGATATTATAGCTTCACACCGTAAGGCTAAAAACTTTCAAAAATTCTGGAAGGCAACAAAAAAGCTAGATGTTAGGCCTGGCCTTCCTGTGAGTGTCGGGGTGCTGATCAGCCAGACCTCATTGCTAATATGTTTGTTGACCATTTTAAAGTGGAGTCACCGCTGGGCTTATCATTGCGAGTGCTCGATGACGGGTGCTGTAGTGACTCGGATTTAGTACGTTTTTCTGCGAAGCAAGTGTTTAAAACAATTAAGAAAATGACTCGAGGAAAATCCCCGGGTTACGATGGCCTGAGCATCGAGCACCTGCAGCATGCCGGTCCTCACTTGGCTAGGGTACTGGCTATGTTTTTCTCATTGTGTATGTGTCATTCGTACCTCCCTCAAGATTTAATGCGAACAATTGTTGTGCCTATAATTAAGAACAAGACTGGCGACGTGTCTGATAAATGTAATTATAGGCCCATCTCCCTAGCTACAATTATCGCAAAGGTGCTCGACAGCCAGTTGGACGCTTGCTTGGACGGCTTATTGCAACTTCATGATGCACAATTTGGATTCCGTAGTGAGCTGTCTACCGAGAGTGCTATTCTGGGTCTTAAACATACAGTGCAATATTATACTACACGACAAACACCGGTCTATGCCTGTTTCTTAGACCTTTCCCGTGCCTTTGACCTGGTATCATACGATGTTTTATGGAATAAGCTACGGGAGAGAAGGGTCCCAGCTGAGCTGTTGCGCATATTTCAGTATTGGTACTACAATCAAACAAATAATGTGAAATGGGCCGATAAGCTTTCGGTGTCATATAGTTTGGATTGTGGTGTCAGACAAGGAGGGATAACGTCGCCTAAGCTTTTTAATCTCTATGTCAATGACCTGATCGTTGAGCTCAGCAGCAAGAAAATCGGCTGTCGCATAGATGACGTCACAATCAATAACATAAGTTACGCTGACGATATGGTGCTGCTGAGTCCATCGGTCAGGGCGCTCAGGGAACTGCTGAAGTGTTGTGAGTCCTATGTTCATGCACATGGCTTATTGTACAATGTCGCAAAAAGTGAGTTCCTGGTTTTTAAGGCGGACGGTGGTAAATGCCCTGAATCCGTGCCCGCAATTACACTTAACGGTAATGAACTACAGAGGGTCTACCAGTTTAAGTACTTGGGGCATTACGTGACCGATGACCTTAAAGATCAGGTGGATATTGAAAGGGAACGTAGGGCGCTGACAGTCCGATGTAACATGTTGGCACGGAGGTTTGCACGTTGTAGCGAGCCAGTCAAGATAACGCTTTTTAAAGCTTATTGCCAGGTGTTCTACACGTGCAGCCTGTGGACCAAATACACGCAGCGGACTCTCAGCGCCCTGCGGGTCCAGTACAATAACGGATTTAGGATGTTGATGGGGCTGCCCCGACACTGCAGTGCATCTGGTATGTTCACCCAGGCACACGTTGATGGCTTCCAAGCCATCATCAGACAGAAGTCGGCCTCATTGCTCTGTAGAGTGCGGGCCAGCTCCAACTCCATCCTGAAAACGATAGCAGGGAGGTACGATTCTCCTCTAATTTATGACATTGTTCGTAGATGCATCACGAGCAATAAGCTAGTTTCTAAGTAGCACGTAATCATTGGTATCGGTGATGTTGTTCGTGGATGCATTTACGAATAGCAAACTTTTTTTTTACTAATTAATTACTAAAGTGTACTAACATAGATATAAGTTATTTCTACTAATAACCTATGGATGCTTCTGGTCCGAAATAAAGAGTATTTTATTTTATTTTATTTATTTTTATTTTAAAGTATTACTGGGTGTTTGCAAAAACTTTCAGTAGTAGCACGGAGTTTGGAATTGTGCCCGGTATATGGCAATAGGCTCACCCCTTATTACATGGGACTCATAACATAAATAGTGAAAAGCGGGTGTTACATTGTACAGTGGTATAATGTGCACCTCTGCCTACCCCTTTGAGGATAAAAGGCGTGATGTTATGTTATGTTGATTGCTACATTATTATTATCTATTATATATATGTCGTAGGATAATTTGATACTTCGAATCTTCGCGGAAATCCTAGGGGTTTTGCGAAAACGCGGATAATTAGACATAGGCGAAAAATTATCAAATCTTACTGGACAAAGTCAGGATTTTTGCGAAAATACTCATTACTATAGTAAGATTGCGAAACGAAACGCTGGCTGTTATGAAATAAGAACGCTGATTGGTCGGTCAGCGCGTTCAATAAGAGATCGTCTCTGATTGGTTGACGTCTTAAATGTTTTTTCGTCGTCTTAAACGACCAGTTTCATCCAATTTATGGATTACACCCTAAAATTGGATCTTTTTTTTTTACTACGACTGATATCTCCTATTGTCTGTAGAAAACAACATACATACTAAAATTTTCAATAAAAGGTTTATAAAAATCAATTGAGTGATTTTTCTTTCTCACCTATTCTAAACCTTCATAACTCTATGATACAATACTTGAAGTTAATCATCGGCAAACTAGGAACCAATTAGAAGTCAGCCAGCAAAATTGTAGCCAATCAGTGTTGAGCACATCAAATCTTACTATAGTAACGAGTATTTTCGCAAAAATCCTGACTTTGTCCAGTAAGATTTGATCATTTTTCGCCTATGTCTAATTATCCGCGTTTTCGCAAAACCCCTAGGATTTTCGCGAAGATTCGAAGTATCAAATTATCCTACGACATATATAAATGAAACCCGTTTCCCGTTGTCATGCTATAACTTGAGAACGGCTAGACCGATTTGGATGATATTTTTTGTTGTGTTTGTTATTGTCAGGAGAAGGTTTTTATGACAGAAAAAATCCTGAAAATCCTCCGGGAACGGGAGTAAACGGGATTACGCGTACGAAGTCGCGGGCTAGTGTTTTAAAACAAGTACAAATAGTACGTATGTTTTTACTTTAACTATATATTATATATCTTCAACTATAACATGTAGGTAAGAGAAATTGGAAATTTTGTTCCTTTCCGCAATCTGCACGTTGATTTCCGAGGCAATTCGGTCTCTCAAATTACGTTTTAAAGGTTCTTGAGTCTGTGTGCTTTACCTTGCGTTTGCGGGAAAATATTGCTCCAATAGATTTTTAAGGACGTCATATGCACGTTATGGCCTTTTCGCACTACGCTAATATAGTTGCAAATATTAAACAGCTCTGTCTCGCTTCAATTTTGGGACATAAGCGAGAGAGAGCTAATAAATATTCGCAATACGATAATAAAATGATATTAGTGCAAACAGTTAGAAAATACGTTATGAAATTTTTTTTCAGTTATGATTATATTCAATTTGATTGGGGGCAAAAGGTAGAAAGAGGTCGGTTAAATAAAATTGATAACTCGTCTTAACTCTTAATTTTTTATTTCGGTCGTTATTAAGTATTATGAGTGAAATATTGTCATCTGTGATAAAAAAACCCTATAGGTTGTGGGTTTAGATAGATAGAACTTGAACAAATATTTAGATCATCATCATCATCAACAGCCTATAAATGCCCACTGCTGAGCAAAGTCTCTTCTCACACGGAGAAGGTTTGAGCATTAATCACCACGCTTCCTCAATGCGGGTTGGCGATTTCAGACTAATGATTAGAAATTATAAGCCTAGGTTTCCTCACGATGTTTTCATTCACCGTTTGTCAGTGGTGTCTAGATATTCTTGGAAAGTACATTTAACTCGGAAAAAGTCACATTGGTACTTGCCGCTGGTAGGTTTCGAACCCTCATGCATGAGAAGTGGGCGTCTTAAACCTCCGGGCCACCACGACTTAACTTATAGTATTTAGATAATAACTGTGAATTAAGTATTCACCTTTAGTTACTGGAGAACCTTAGCCTCAATGTAAAGGGCTCCTAGACTAGTGATATTTTGAATTTTGTATTAATTTACTTAATTGAATATCTATCCGTTAGCAGTAGCACAATTTTTCAATGAATAATAACATTTATTTGGAATGGTGCAAATGCTCTTTTTATCGAGTGTTAATACTGAACTGCCTCGTTGGCCGAGTATATGCAAGTGCGACTGATAGGCAAGTGGTCTCGGGTTCTATTTCAGGGTCGGCCCCAATTATTATTGGGGTTTCAAAAAAATCTCAGTAGTAGCACGCAGTCTGGAATTATGCCCGGTATATGGCAATACACTCACCCCCTGGTACATGGGACTCATAACATAAATAGTGAAAAGTGGGTACAGTGTAGGTACATTGTACAGTGGCAGTGAGTGCCGTAATGTGCACCTCTGCCTACCTCTTCAGGGATTAAAGGCGTGATGTTATGTATGTTATGTTAATATTTATGTAAATAATTGTTGCTAGAAAGTTGAACATGCAATAAGAATTGTTTGGTTCGATTCCTGGGTTGGCAATGTTTCATGCCACGGAGTTAGCAATTGTGCTCGATGTATATAAGACTAGCATAATTCTCGAAAAAGTAGGTAACATTTAATGTGGACCTCTGATTAAATCTATAATTATAATATTATGAATAATGAAAGAAAATACATTTATTTGGCACAAAGTACAATACCTACAGCAATACAATCACACAAAAAAAAAGAAAAAGAAAACAATGAAACCCTAAAATTATTTTAAAGACAACAAACATTTCCTTTTTTATGGGATAAGCCGGTAAACGAGCAGACGGATCACCTGATGGTAATCAATCGGCATCGCCCATGGACACCTGAAACACCAGAGGCGTTACAAGTGCGTTATCGGTCTTTTGGGGATTATTAGTTTGAGGATTATTGGGTATCAGGGAGAAGAGCTCATTCGTGCCGAAGCATGGCTCTCCCACAGTCCCAAACATACAGCAAAAACTAAAATAAATAAAAAAAAAAGTCGGAAAGGAAATGTGTTATGTAAGCAATACGTTGTAATTCTGTAGATTTTTTAATGTGGTTTCTTTTTCAGATTTTGCAAGAAGCCAGCAGAGTAATGCAGCTGTCTCCGGATGGCAATGAAGTTATATTAGCATACAATGTAGCACCGGTAAGTTTACTAGCTGTTTTCTATACGCCTACCTATAGCCAACATATAGTTCGTAAAGGTTTAATAAATGTGCTTAGGTTGATAACCACAATGTATCAATATGATGTTTGTTGACAAAAATATGTACATATTGACTCAACTGAAACTGTGAAGCAGATAGGACAATTTGTTTTTGTAAAATTAATAAATCAATGTGGACCATGTGTTAAAAAACTGGTTTAAATTTCAGTAAGCTTACACTCTTTATTTTGCCAGATACACACGAACGAAATAACAATATTTACAGCTCTTATCTAAAAAGCAAATTAATATAATGAAAAATTTTTTTGGCCTCGCATTGGTAGCATTGATATTTTTACGAAATGCGGACAAAGCCATCATTTGAATTCGCAAATGGCCTCTCATACTATGTAAACAGTCGTATAAAAATGTAAACAATAAGAGCAATGTCGACAAAAATGTGGATCACGTTCAGCCGTCTCATGTGGCGCCATTTTTTATTTTAATCAAGGATTATGGAAGTGACTTTATTTAACTGCATAATTCTTTTTTACTCAAGAAAACGGAAAGGGATTTCGAATTTGTAGAAAATCAGCAACATAAAATAAGTACAGCATATTATCTAGATATGACGTGTACGTAACATAAGATTTAAAGGGAAAAATTCAAAGGTCAAGTAAAAGTGTTCCGACAAGCTAACTAGTTTAAAAACTTTTAAAGTTAGTATAAAGAAAGGAACATACTGTTGAGAAAAGTCAACTTTATACATAGGTGCACTGCATTGACCTAGTTACTTGCGTACGAATGACCTAATTTTACAATTGAGTTTTTCTTACCCTTTCATGACTTCCTTACCTTGAACGTAGAACATTTTGGATTAAGATTAAATTAATCGGTAGTTAGATGTTTACGCAGTTTTATTCACACTATAATAGAAGCATTAGCTACGCTTTAAGTGAAACCTGCCTTCAACACGCAGCCTAAGTTTAGCAGTTCTTTTGGTTGAGATGATAATAATGATGATTTAACTTCAGGTGTACAGATACAGTTTCCTTGCCCGCTATACTGCAGTGAACCTTGCAACCGGAGAAGAAGTGTCCATCGCTCCTCCAGGCATTGCCAGAGACCAGGCGTTCCTCCAAAACTTTGTATGGGGACCCTCAGGAACATCTTTGGCTTTCGTCTACCGGAACGATATCTACTACCAGGCTTCTGTAAGAGATACTCCTCGTCGGATCACGGATGACGGTGTTTTGAATATCAAGTACCACGGTATCCCCGATTGGGTATACGAAGGTAAATATGTTTTTGTTTGTTTAAAAACCAAAAATACAGTAAATATCTAGATAACAAGCAATAAAACTCAGTCAGACAAACCAACATCACTTTGTTTGCCATTCCAACCAATGATATGACATATATTTGATTTCCTTATTTATTATTTCACCGTTACCTAATATTGACCTTACTTTATTTACAGAGGAAGTATTTGGTTCGAGCAATGCTATATGGTTCTCCAAAGATAATACCAAAATGACGTACGTCACCTTCGACGATACTAATGTGGAAGTGATGAGAGTCCCCCACTACGGTATTCCCGGAGATCCGGCCCATCAATACACTCGTCATTCTCAGATCCGGTACCCCAAGGTAAGATGTGGCTATCACCATGCCTTTTATGGCTATCACCAACGTCTTCATCAGCTGGAAGATAAGCAATGCTATGGCATGATCTTCTTTCGTATGCGAAAGAATATCTTGTTTAGTACACCTGTCTAGCTTATCACAGTCTTAGTCTATTAGATAATGGGCTTCTTCTAGCTAAGAGAGTTTGCGGTTTGAAAATAACAATTTTCTTTGTATTCTGCTGTCAATATACGTGTTAGATTAAATACTTATAGGCATTTCACCGCCTGCATCAGGATCGGCCATTGCGTGAATATTTGGGCATATAATAAGATAACCGAGTCACAATGTAATGTCTTTTTAATTACTAATCTAACTAACTCTATGAAAAATTATAAGATTGCGTGGAACTTCAACGGTTTGTCGGAGATGTCTGGCGCACGCTATTCATAACCGTAGTCTGGTTCAAAAATATGGCGGCGCTCTTCTCGACATGACGCTCCATTAGAATGACCTCTGTGGCTAGATACCATCCTAGTTCCAAAAAAAATAATAAACGGTGCTGTGGCTGCGCCGTCATACTTATAGAACGGTTATTTTTAAATACTATAAATTTTTAATAAAAAAAATTTACTCTGCAATTGAAACTGAGACGTGGGTGTTTGGGTGTTCATTATGAAATGCTGCCCTAGTCATAAATGAATCATGAACTGTATAAAGTTAACCACTTGTTAAGTCAGAAACTAAAGATTTATTCCTCCTTCCAAGTCAAGTTTCCCAAACATCACCTTAATCATTGGAAACTTCAATAAACGTCTCAAGTTATAATGAACTGGAGCCAGACTAGTTCAAATTGCATATAACCTCGACAAACTCAATTCCATAAGCTAATTGCTTCACTCGCTTTCTAGTTTTCAGAGAGAATTGGATTTTACTATAACGTTTGATAGACTAACTTCTATTCACGATATTGTGAATTATGATTTATGGTATTGTGAAAAGATTCGTTATTAATTGCTTCTTGGAATCCTTATTTAAATTGTATGTTTAATAGAATAAAGAAGTATGTACATACATAAAAAGAAACATAACATAATGTTAAATAACTATATTTTAAATTCATGAAATTAAGTCGATGAAACAAAAGCTGTTTGTTCCACCGACATTATGCGTAAATAAGTTAGTTTTATAAAACAATTTTTAGTCAAATTGTTGGTACTTGACTTATAAATCTTAGTTTATTCGGCTACTAGCGGCTCTTAAGATAACTAGCGACAAATATGTGCTGATATCATCTCTATAATTTTCCAAAGCAAAAAAAGTTGTGATCACATATAAAATATTAAAAAGATTCTATGACATCTATGGTTGTGACATTATATGATTTTAGAAATAATTTGATATTCTCTGTTATTCTCAATTGTAGTGACTCTAGTACATTTATAAAGTGGTTGATGCCTACATAATAAGCAGAGTATCTGACACGAGTCTATTGTTTAGAACGTGACGATTGTTAACTTACTGGTATTAGTTATCGATTCTACTCCATTTTAATTGAACATTTCTGCTATGAAAAACAAATTGAACTGAATTGTTTAGTTTAGTGACATTATGAATCTAGTAAGGTACTAAGACTGCCTCGTTGGCCGAGTGGTCGCAATTGCGACTACCGGGTAAGGGGTCTCGGGTTCGATTCCCGGGTCGGGCAAAGTATTACTGGGTTTTTAAAAAATTCTCAGTAGTAGCACGGAGTCTGGAACTGTGCCCGGTATATGACAATAGGTTCACCCCCTATTACATGGGACTCATAACGTAAATAGTGAAAAGTGGGTGTTACATTGTACAGTGGTATAATGTGCACCTCTGCCTACCCCTTCGAGGATAAAAGGCGTGATGTTATGTTAAGGTACTAAGGTTTTGTGACCATTGTATAAAGATTATTCAATTTAAAGCACAACCTAATTTGTATTTGAGCAAGATAAAAGACCCTACAATACATTAGTATTACCAATTACAAATGTCTCTATAATGTTAATTATTATGAAGTGGATACATTTGTCATATGTCGTTTGTATTCAATTCTCTCCTCAAACTACAGAACCAATATGAATAATCAAATAATATTTTACCACTGATAAACTTTTTAAGAGTAACAAAGGCTGAATAACAAAATCGGGTCACTTGACAGAAACCTCATACAAACCCACAAACACCAACATCACAGAAAATGAAGAAATAAAAAAAAATACTTGATTTAAATTATTTTGTTGCAGCCCGGCACTACCAACCCAACAGTATGGGTAACTCTGTTGGATTTGAACACGGGTGGTAAAAACGTGTATAACGCCCCCACTGACATAAATCAGTAAGTAACAATGGACGTAGTATAATCAATAGTTAATAATTTTGAACAAGTTTATAAGGCATTAAGTGCCATAGCATATAATGCCATTACCTACGGGTAATGTGCACCTCTGCCTACCCCTTCAGGGATAAAAGGCGTGTTACGTCGTGTAAATATGTAAAAAAGTTACGTACGGAAAGTGAAAAGAAAAATAGTTTATTTACTTGGTAAACTAGCAATCAATTTTAAAGCTTAAATTAATACTATCAAAAGTCATTTTATCTCAAACTTACTCCTTTTTTTTCGTCATAAACGATGAATCGAACAATAAGGCTATTAAATTTTGTTTACTAAAACTTATAATTTATCTGTATTTCAGGCCTATTTTGAAGACGGTGAAGTTCATAACTAACTCGGCGATTGCCTTGGTGTGGACAAATAGGGTGCAAACTTCTCTAAGGGTGCAACACTGCACGGCTGGTTCAGATACTTGCGCAACGGTAAGCAACGCAATAGTCTTCATTGAATGTTAATCAACGAAGGAACATTTTCAAAACGTAGATGTTTTTAGTAATAATAGCACCTGATGGTAAGCCATCGTAACCAGGCATAGACCCTCAAATTATCAGAGGAGTTATTAGAGCGTTGCCTTTTGAGGTTAGAGATTTAAGAATTGGGGAGGTTTGGGAGGGGGAGTTCAGTTACTGGTAACCAACGCAAGCGTTGTTACACACACACTCCGGTGGAATCAACCCATTCATACCGAAACATGGTTCTGATACACACGTAAATACTTATGTGTACCTTAATGTCGACGTCTACCTACTCCTCCTGGAAAAAGTGTGACGTTATATTATGTACTTGTTATTAATAAGCTATGTGTTCAAAATATTGACAACTTATCATCTACCAATAGGGTAGACGACTAATTTTTATTTTAATGTCCGTCTGATAGATTATTTAAAAACATTAGACATGTATTTTTTATTTTCTCACAGAAACGAATAGTTTCGAAGATATATTGATTTGAAATGTCGCATGACGTCACTTCTCAGTACATTTTATACTAAGGAATGACGTTTTAGCCCCCACTCCTAAACTTTGATTCGTTTTATCTAAGTATTGTTTTATTATACGACAAAATAAAAAAAATACGTGTCTAATATTTTTTCATTACCTAACTTACGGACTAATTATATTTTTAATTTTCATACCCTGTCATCATCCCCATTATCAGCTGTGTATCACACCCCAAGGTAGACTGAGAGATAATACTCAAGGTATTGAATCTGTTTTCAGGTGTTCAATTATGCTGAGACCAACGGTTGGATTGACAACATTCCGTTCTTCTACAACGATGCTGGAAATTCTTTCATCACTATTCTGCCCCAAGTAAGTTTAGTATTATACTTATAGCGCCATCTCTTAGCAATGTTTGTAAACTTATTTCTATATTCATTGGTTCGAAGGAAAGTGAACAGATGTCGTGTTATTAAAAATTTTCGTTTTACTGAGTTTACCACACTATATTAAAGAATTGCACAGTAGCACGAACAAGTAGACACATTCATGTAACTACTGGTTATTAAAAGGAGTTTAGCAAAATATCAATACAACCATCCAATTTAAGAAAGAAATAACATTTTTTTATAATTTCAGTACATACGGCACCAATTCTAGTATATTATCAAACAACTGTGGTTTCCTAATTTCTTCTTATGTCTATTTTTAGGCCGTCGAAGGTGTCCTGTTCAAGCAAATTGTTCAAGTTACTGAAGGTGTTGCCGCTGCCAGAAATCGCGTTAACAACCCTCACACAGTTCTTGAGATCCTTGCCTGGGGTTCTGACGATGTTATGTAAGTATATAAACTTAAAAAATACACCAGAGGTGACAATGACAGAAAGAGCCTAAAGAGCGCCCTAGGTAAGAGAGGTAGTTGTTTACGTAAGAGAGGTATGCCATAATCACCTCGCTTGGTTCCTGGAGACTGGTTCAAGTTAATTTGTCCCGGGTCTGGATAAGGTTGTTATTTATAAATGACTCAGGATAAAATAATAACCAGTGTTAATCTTACACTAAAAAATATCAAATAATTTTTCAAGGAAAATAATCTATATATATAAAAGAAAGTCGTGTTAGTTACACCATGTATAACTCAAGAACGGCAGAATAGATTTGGTTGAAAATTGGTAGGGAGGTAGCTTAGACCCAGGAGACCGACATAGGATACTTTTTAACCAAAATTGTTTTTTTTACTTTTTTCCGAAAATCACGATCGGGGACGGGAAAAAATGGGATTATGCCTACGAAGTCGCGGGCAGAAGCTAGTTTATAATATTTTTATTATTTTTTCCAGCTGGTACAAAGCAACAAGCGTCAGTGATTCTCGGGAACAGCACATATTCTCAGTGAACGCTCAAGGTGTCATCTCCTGCTTCACTTGCAACATTCGTCGGACGGACGGAGGTGAATGCCTCTACAATGAAGGCACAGTCAGCACCTCTGGAGACAGAATCACCATTAATTGTGCCGGACCTGATGTACCACAAATCTTCATCTACAAAACTGTAAGCCCATTACCTGTATTTTGTTGCAAAATCTACTTTACTAAGAAAAAGTATCGTGGCAAAAAATTCAATCAGTTCTATTTGAGAAGGTAAGCTTAAAATGACTGGTCCAATTTTCGTAGAATTTGTGTCATTTATGTGAATTGAGGTGAGTTATTTATCTAATGTCGTGGTGGCCCGGAGGTTTAAGACGCCCGTTTCTCATGCATGAGGGTGCGGGTTCGAAATCTACCAACGGCAAGTACCAATGTGACATTTTACAAGTTATATGTACTTTCTAAGTTTATTTAGACACCACTGATAAACGGTAAAGGAAACCATCGTGCGGAAACCTGGGCTTATACTCTAATTTATCGCTTATATCTATTATATTCTAATTGTAAGTTTGAAATCACCAACCCGCATTGAGTAAGCGTGGTAATTAATGCTCAAGCCTTATCCGTGTGAGAAGAGGCTTTGCTCAGCAGTGAGCATTTATAGGCTGTTGACGAGGTAATGATGAGATTTATCTAATAACTACTTCCTAATTATAAACCCTATTGTTTTCAGAACGGCGAACTGGTGCGCGTTTGGGACGACGGTGCGGATCTATCAGCTCTCATGGCTAACCACACGCTACCCGTGACTATCCGAGCACAAATACCTACGTCACTGGGTCAGACGACCTCTGATATCCACATCCAGGCACCTGCCGACTATGCTCTAAGAACTAACGTACCACTGCTCGTCTATGTGTAAGTATTTTTGACAGAACTTCTTTGTTATCCCGAATCAGTTTTGATCACAATAATTTAACGATAGCAATGTAATGAGACGTTTGATTATTTTAAAATTATACTTTTCAAGATAGAAACTTTAATACTTTAGTAAAATATGTGGTTAATGGGCTACCACAATGGGCGATCATCCTTGTCTTATTTGATACATATGAAAAGTTTTGCCTTAAATCATTTAATACCCGTTTAACATAACCTAAATCCTTTTCTAGGTACGGTGGTCCCGACACGGCTCTGGTGACGAGGCAATGGAGCCTTGACTGGGGCAGTTCTCTAGTCACTCGTTGGGGTATTGCTGTAGCTCATATTGATGGTAGAGGATCCGGCTTGAGAGGAGTCGAAAACATGTTCGCCTTGAACAGGAAACTCGGAACCGTTGAGGTTGAGGACCAGATCGCTGGCGCAAAGTAAGTCTAATTTTGTGCATTGGAATTATAATAATTACCTTTAGCTTGAAAGAAATCTCGAAAGTCTAGTGACCAGAATACGCCGAACATTTGTGCTCCATAAAAAGGATCTTCACCCATAAGAAGTATCCATTTGTCCTATTAATTTTATTAGACTCATTGCTTTTGTTGATCGAAGACTCATTGTAATAAAAAAGCTATCGATCAAATTAACAAAGTTTTTATGTCAACTTAAAGAGCACACGGAATAAAATGTATTTGAATTTATTCAAAAATACTGAGTATACTACAAAAAAACCTACTTTAACCTAAAATCCACTCTTTTTTAGATATATTCAAGACAATTTCCCATGGATCGATGCCAACCGGACCTGTATCTGGGGTTGGTCTTACGGAGGCTATGCGGCAAGTAAAGCACTGGCTGAAGGAGGCGAAGTCTTCAGATGTGCTGCAGCCGTCGCTCCTGTGGTTGACTGGAGGTTCTATGGTAAATAGACTTATGAAATGTACGGTCAAATGTCAAAAGTCCACTGCCACAATAAGACTATTATCGGTTGCGCTGCATCGCTTATACACACATGCACACGCATATTTTTATCCGTGTGCGTGCGCTTGCGTGTATTTATGCGTACACACGCGTTTTTATGCACATTAATATGAAATTACTTACGCATTGCCGTGTGAACATCACTCACGGTGGCAGTGGACCTTTGACTGTACCAGCTGTCCTGGACATAACCATACATAAGAACAAAATCTATCTTCAACTAATTGAAATTTTTAGACTGAACAGGATTTGCTTTCTGATCAAAATTAATATCGTAGGTAGAGCGCTTTTTTTTAATATGTGAAGTGCCGACGTTTGACCACTATCTGGCCTGAAATTATGATTATTAATATTAATAATTGAATTATATTTAGACTTAGAAAAGTATTATAAATATCCGTCTGGTCCAATTTTTAGTTAATTTTTTAGTGTATGCTTTTTTATGAATCCCAATTCTACAGGTCCTTTAATCCTTTATAGAGCGTTAGAGGTTGGTTGTAATTAAGTACATATTGTTTTCAGACACTATCTACACCGAACGTTACATGGGCCTTCCAAACCCGGATGACAATGCTGAGGGCTATGCAACGTCCTCCCTTCTCACTGATCAAGTGGTACGATATCTTTCTATTTATCCTATAATAAATAATTGAAAATTTGAAACTTAGTTACGTGGGTACAAAAACGATATTTCAGAAAACGCAGAGCGTTCATTAAACTAAATGAGTGTCTCATTATTTTCTGACAAAATTTTCAAGGAATAAAAGCCTGGTCTTACGTCTTACACAATAATTCTTCAGGCGGAGTCCCTTCATGACAAGAGCTACTTCTTGATCCATGGCACAGCTGACGACAACGTGCACTATCAACACGCCATGTTGCTGTCTAGGCTGTTGCAGAGGCGAGATGTCTACTTCACGCAAATGGTAAGAAAAATAATGGCAATTATGCGGAGTTTCTTAAACAGGGTTTGATTAGGTTAAATATTCATATCTACATAATATATACCACCGTTCCTTTTTGTATATAGTATACGACTGTTATAAAGCAATATGATGTAAAATGTTATAAACTGTATAGTAATGTTTTATAAACAATCCTCGTCTAATAAATTCAAATTTTAGAAAGGCATGATCTAAATATCCTCCATAGAACCTCCATAGAATAAGATACGATGGCATTTTTTATAATCAACCTCGTATTGGTACTGTTGTGTGTCATTTATTTTATGCGTTGATAAAAACCAAACATAACATGACATCACGCCTTTTATCCTCGAAGGGGTAGGCAGAGGTGCACATTATACCACTGCACAATGTAACACCCACTTTTCACTATTTATGTTATGAGTCCCATGTAATAGGGGGTGAGCCTATTGCCATATATCGGGCACAGTTCCAGACTCCGTGCTACTACTGAGATTTTTTTAAAAACCCAGTAATACTTTGCCCGATCTGGGAATCGAACCCGAGTCCCTTGCACGGCAGTCGCAATTGCGACCTCTCGGCCAACGAGGCAGTCCAGTATAAAAACCAAAATGTTGTTAAATGTCACCTATCTTTAAATTTAGGAGGGGTTTGTTAAAATGGGCTTACACTGTCAAACACCAAGCGGTCACCGGTGACCGCGACCTATTGTTCTATAATTGTGTCTAGAAAACCGGTACTCGACGAGTTAAAATCTTACGTTGCCTTACGTTGTAAGGCAAGGGTTAAATTCCTTGCCTTACAACGTAAAAAGAAAAGTAAATCCGTAGCGATTGTGGAGTTACTCTGAACATGGAGAAATAATGTGCGAAGAAATATCTGGTCGTTTATATAAATAATGGGTTCTGGAACATTCGCTGGCTCAGCAGTGGCGCCCTCTCGGGACCAACGATCACTTTAACTTGATATACTGCAGGTATCGGTGCGGCCCATACGTTACAATGGTATCTTTAATTTTTGTAGTATTTTAGTCTTTCAATGTTATGGTATAAGGTTTAAAGTAATTTATAATATCTATTGGGTATAACTTTCTAAATTGTCAAGTAATATTGACGTTGCTGATTTTTCTTTATTAGAAAAAAAGGCTTTAATAGCAAAGCAATGATACCAGTCCCATAGTGAAAGTAAATAACAAAAAATAAGTTATAATTAAGATCTTAACTTACTATATTTGATAATTAGACATCATATATCACAATATATGATGTCTAATTACATAATTACGACACACATGTCGTAGCAAAATAAATTATTTTTCTTTCTTTCTTTCTTTCTTTTCTTTCATATATCTTAAAAGCTAATTTGGATGTTGATTAAGACAGAATTAAGTTTCAGATGCCGACATCTCTTAAATTTATGCTGTATTAAATATTAATACAAATTTTATATTCTAACTTGTATTCTGACTGCCTCCTTGGCCGAGTGGTCGCAAGTGTGTCTGCCAGCAAGGGGTTTCGGGTTCAATTTCCGGGTCGGGCAAAGTACTACTGGATTTTTCAAAAAATCTCATTAGTAGCACGGACTTTGGAATTATGGCCGGTATATGGCAATAAGCTCACCCCCTATTACATGGAACTCATAACTTAAATAGTGAAAACTGGGTGTTGCATTGTACAGTGGCATTATATGCCGTAATGGTCACCTCGGCCTACGATACAAGGCTTGATGGTATAGGTATAATATGTTCTGTGTTGTATACTAACTCTGTCCAGTCCACGCCAACTCTTGCTGATCTTTAAACCTTCTAGATAGTTCTTCTCTAGGTAATACCTAGTCAGTTATAGGCCCATTGAGAAGGAATAATTTAGACATTTGGACATTGGATTTAAACTGCTTTTCTATTTTCCAGAGCTACACAGATGAAGACCACGGTCTGGTTGGTGTAAGGCCGCATCTCTACCACGCATTAGAGAAGTTCCTACAGGAATATATGTTGTAATCGCTCCACACATTCCAAAATAGTTAGTTCAACATTTTTGCTCAGTGGTACCTCTATTTAAAAAAAACTAGTTTAAAAAAAAACTACTTCAAACATAGAAAGAAAATTATCTTTCCTATGAAGTTCTTAACATTTTTAACGGATGGTACTTAGTCAAATCAGAGTTAGTTTTATCGATTACGATTCATGTAGAACTGTAATCTATTGTTTAAAAAAAGAATTATGAACTATAAATAAGATTGTCAAGAATTTGCGTCTCGATGACGTCATTTTACTCAAGGCTATGAATCAATAAAATACAATAAGAATATTTTTATTTCATTTTAATTCCATCATGAAAAAAAATATATTTTAAGAATCAAATAGAACTTTATCAATTACAGAGTTACCTGTCTGTTAGCACAATAAATTATTTTTAAAATAAAAAATAAAATATTTTATGAGTCATGTAAATAATTTTATTATTGAGTATTTTGATGTTACTTAAAGTTGCCAATGTAATAGAATGAAACAGGGTTGCCAGTGGTTATTTGTAGATATTAATAAATAATTATAAATCAATAAATATTTATGTTAAACAAATCTAACCGGACAATAGTCTAAACATGTTATTTCTAGTTCGCTGTTTGTATAGTTTCAATGGATCGTTCTTATACTGATTTCATTTGTAAATATTTTAAGTACTTTAAGTACAAAATATCTAATAAATAAATGTGTTTTCTACAAATATTTTTGTGATTTTTTTCCTATATTTTAGATGATTTTTTTTTTAAATATATTATCCTGTTTTTTTACGTACCCATAGAATCAACTACGTAAAAGTGTGCACGTGAAGCTACGTTAAAGAATACCTTAGATTAGGTTAGTTAGCTAAACATCTACCTCTAGTGTCGTAGCTCTGTCGGGTTATTTTAAATCAAAACAGAAGACTGCACAATTAATAGGTTTAATTTCTACATATATCAGAATCAAGACCGGCTCACACCGATACAAAGAAATGCCCGAATGCAATGGCTGGCGTGTGTCGATGAAGAAGAAGCGCGGCGCTCGCGCGGCCGTGGGTTTTTATACCCCGTCCCGCGCGTCGCCGCCTCTATGGTCGATGGCCATACTAATGCGCCAACACTAGACTAACAGTATTTCGACCTACTATATTTATTTATTTATTAACGCTTCATTCACAAAGTGTACACAAGGTGGACTTAATGCCGCAGGCATTTTCTCCCAGTCTGACCTTTGGGTGATGCAGAGAAGAGTGAATGGTAGGAGCAAGAAGCAAGCAACGATTTAATTGAGAAAATAGAAGATTATACTAACATATTTCAAATATGAACATAAATAAATATAATAATAATATACACACTGCAATATACATACATACATACATACATACATAGACTCATAGCATAAAATATAAATATGAACATAATTACTAATACTCTGTAAATAATTATTGTGATGATTCAGCCAACCTCTTCAAGAGAAGCTCACGTACTTTCTGCTTAAATGTTAAACGTGTCGACACCATCCTGACATCCAGGGGGAGCGCATTCCACAGCAAAATTGCCTGCACGAAAAAGGAAGAATGAAAGAAGTCAGTGTGATGAGTGGGACATTGGAGAAGACGGTTATGGGAAGAACGAAGGTTTTTACTGTGGTTTGCGCACAAGTATTGAAAGTAAGGGGATAGATAACTGGGTAAAGAAGGTGAACAAAGAAAGGAGAATAGAGTGGTAAGCGCCCTTTGCTCCCTGCGCTGGCGTATGGGCAGCCACTTTAGTTGCAGCCGATGTGCAGAAACATAATCGTATTTACGCAGGTTGAAAACGAATCGAATGCAGTTATTTAGAAGTCGGTCGAGCTTATTGAGGAGATCTGCATTCAGGTCGTAGTAGCAGACATCAGCATAATCGATGATAGGGAAAACCAAGGCTTGCACCAACATGGCCTTCGTAGCGGGAGGAAGCAAATTTTTTACGCGATACAGAGCACGCAATGATCCAGTAACCCCTCTGCATACATTAGTGATTTGAGCATGCCACTTTAAATTGCAGTCAATATGCAAACCCAGATTTTTGACGTCAGTACCAAACGGAATTACTGCACCATCAAAGAGCACGGCTGGTAATGATGCTCGGTCAATCCCACCTAGCGTACGGGAGCTACCCAATATAATAGCCTGGCAGTTGCCGGGATTAACTGAAATACCGAATCTCTCGGACCAGTTCTTAATGGATACCAGGTCACCGTTCATCTCCGAGATCGCATCAGAGAGCCTGTCAACATTGGCCTGACAGTACAGTTGCAAATCGTCAGCGTATAGATGGTACGCACACTGAAGTTCAGAAGTAATGAGATTAATGAAGATAGAGAATAGAAGAGGTGATAGTATGCCGCCTTGAGGAACACCAGCCGTTAATTCGCGCCAACCCGATGAAATATCATCCAGCCTGACCGACTGCTGGCGGTCCCGAAGATAAGATGAAAACCAGTTCAATGAGTTGTCAGAGATCGTTAGATGGGAAAGGATGGCTAAAAGGATGTCGTGACTGACCATATTGAAGGCATTCGAGAAGTCAACTAAAACCAAAACTGTGGCTTTAGCGCTCTCGAGACCAGTTCTAATATCGCCAGTCACCTTAAGGAGAGCGGAAACCGTGCTGTGGCCCGGCCTGAAACCAGATTGAAGGGGACTTATGAGCGAATTTTTGTAAATAAAGTCTATATTTACTACTTCGGGAATTAAAATGTTATATTTTACTAATAGGTAGTAGTTTTCCTTAGAACTGAGTTTAGTTAATCACCTTACATAATATACAGATTTCTGAGAGGTATACTATTTCTGAGAACTGCATATTTAATTTTCTACCCACACAAAACGAGACTTGCATAGACATCAAATATTCAAAACTAATTTATTATTCAGTTTCTGATTGGCTGCTCATGCATTATTTATTCATAATAAATTAAAACTCGACCGAGGTTACACCACATTTCTATGCAGAAAACATTATTTTCCATTCGTCGCATAAAGGTTTTTCTAGATCACCAATGCAGTTTCTACTTACGACTAGACTTTTTAGTATTGGATTATTATTTTTTCCTTTAATGTCTAATTTTATTGAAATCAATACTCAATTTCAGAGTAACATAGGTGTCTTACATTTTTTTTTGAGATGAACCAGTAAACGAGCAGACGGATCACAATGGTTGGATGGTAAGCTATCGGCGTCGCCTATAGCCACTTGGAACACCAAAAGCATTACAAGTGCGTTACCGGTATTTTAGGATTAGGAATTTGATGATTGTTGGGAATTCAGAGATTGGGGAAAGGGGGGGGGGGCGTGTATTTGGGCCTCCAGTAACCTCACTCACACGACGAAACACAACGCAAGCGTTGTTTCACGTTGGTCTTCTGTGAAGCCTTGGGATACTACGGTGTGGCAGTGATAACTCCGGTCCAGCAGGTCCATTCGTGCCGAAGCATGGCTCTCCCACACTTAAAATATCATTTAACTTTTTAACTTTGTTATCATTAGGTAACACAATCCACGTTTCTTAAAAACAGATAAAGGGCGTGATAGTGCACGGTTAGACAATGTATTTTCTACATATCAGAGATTGTTGTAATCCGAATTCTGTCTATAGTCCCTTAGTCGACTGTTATTACATTCTTGCTATACAGTTGGTGTGGAAAAACCAAAACTTACTTTTTCGTACGTAAAGCAAAAAGTCTAAACAATATTTATATACGGTTGGTGCGATGGCTGGGCAACCAGCGGCCGCGCAACCTTGTCGCGGGTTCGATTCCCGCACGGAACAACTCTTTGTGTGATCCACAAATTGTCGTTTCGGGTCTAGGTGTCATGTGTATGTGAACTTGTATATTTGTAAGCGCACCCATGATACAGGAAAAAATCCTAGTGTGGAGCAATGTATAAAAAAATGCTCCCAAAAGTCTAATACCTCATTACGTTGTGGTTGGTATTCTAAATTTTAGTATTCTTTCCTGATTTAGGTTTTGTTACGGGGCTTATGGAAATCTAGACCCAACTTCGTAAGCTAAAACCTAAGAGGCAAGGTAGACAAAGAAAGGGATATTGTATATGTATTGAAGGGGTCGAGTAATAGGGCACCATAAATTATGTAAAAGAAGATAAAGGAATTGTGATTACAATTACCATTTTAGTAAAACACTATATTGTTTTTGTGGCTCAGAGGTTTAAGATGCCCGTTTGTCATGCACAAGAGTATGGTTCGAAACCTACTAATCACAAGTGTGTATGATTATCAATGTAACCTTTTCGAGTTATATGTACTTTCTAAGGTTTCTTAGACACCACTGGCAAACTGTGACAGAAAACATTACGAAGAAACATGTGCTTATAATTTCTTATTATAAGCGCATGTTTCCAATTGTAAGCGCATTGAGCAAGCGTGTTGATTAATGCTAAAACCTTCTCCGTGTGAGAAGAGGCCTTTGATAAGCGTGGCCACTTATAGGCTGTCCATGTGCAAATCCGTAAAACATAATATGGGTTGGTGACGACAGATACTTTATTATTATATTTATTTTTCTATGGATTTTGATATGGTAAAAGCAGCCAATTAAAGGATTATACATTTCACAGATTAGGATATGCAGTGCTCTTTGATAAACCTGAACCTTTTGAACCTGGATCTTAGACTGGTGCCAGCAAAGCACGGAGATTGTGACTCTCATGTAAAAGAGACTAGAGAAGAGACTGAGAACTTTCGCTGGTTCAGCATTGATATAATATAATAATTATTACCTAAAAACTGCCTCGTTGGCCGAGTGGTTGCAAGTGCGACTGCCGGTCAAGGGGTCTCGGGTTCGATTCCCGGGTCGGGCGAAGTATTACTGGGTTTTTATAAATTCTCAGTAGTAGCACGGAGTCTGGAATTGTGCCCGGTATATGGCAATAGGCTCACCTCCTATTACATGGGACTCATAACATAAATAGTGAAAAGTGGGTGTT